GAGTGGAACAGCTTCCTATTACAATAGCATGGGGCATCACTTGTTGGTGGCTTGATCCGGATGTGGCATCCATCTATTGCACCAGCTACCATGTGGAAAACTGGAGACCCAGCCAGCTGGGCAAAACCTGCCTCCAGGTCATCCGGGGGCGGGAAAGCGGTCAGCCTCCTCGAAATTTTGATGACTGCCCTGCTGATTCTGTGCACAATGTCATGCACCGTGGGATGTCAAAGCCCAGTGACAGCAGCCTGTACAATGCTGCGTGGGCCAGCCAGTAGAGAAACACCAGAACCTCAACTTTTTCCCAGCCATGGTCAGAATCTGACTTCAAAGCAGCGATGAGGGATGTGATGGACTGTCGTGAAATTCGGAGGTTTGGACGGAGGTTAGATCCATCTTCGAAATACAATCGAAGAATTGGCACAGCAGCATTCAGGCGGCAGTAGGTTGTAGGGCTCAGTCTGTAAATGTGTGTATATATATTTTTTTAGAATATGTATATTATTTATTTATTATGTTTATATTACTTATTATGTAATTATGTATATATTATATCTATCTATAATATTTATTTAGGCTATGTATATATTGTATGTATTCATTCTCTCCCTCTCTCTCTCTATTTATCCAATTGTGTATTATGTATTCATTCAAGTTTATTCATTGATTCATGTCTTTTGTTTGTCCTGTGTATTTTTATGCATTTATTTATCACAATAAATTACTTTATTTCGTTGCTCCAAATGAGCCTCTGGCATGGTGTTCACAGACATGACTTTTTATTCGGAGGTAAAATTTGCTAGCTAAATAGGTGATTGTACTTGCCTTATTTGATAAATGATTTACAAGCTGTCGACAAAGGCGTGATCTTTTATTTATTTAGTCATTTATTAGATGCTTTTATCCAAAGCGACTTACGAATGAGGACAACAGAAGCAATCAATTGTAGTATTAAAACAACTAAAAACAGATCCAAAGCTAAAACTTTATAAATACTACCTACACACATTTTAAAAATAAAGAGATTACATAAAAATTACACATGCATACAACAAAATTTCATAAAGCTAAAAACAATTCAAAATAGTAAAGAACAAAAGGTATAAGAGTATAATAACGATTCTAACATAACACTAAGCCAAACACCAAAAAGAAAAATACATGTGTATGTACAACCACACACACATGCATATACAGTGGGGCAAAAAAGTATTTAGTCAGCCACCAATTGTGCAAGTTCTCCCACTTAAAAAGATGAGAGAGGCCTGTAATTTTCATCATAGGTATACCTCAACTATGAGAGACAAAATGAGAAAAAAAATCCAGAAAATCACATTGTAGGATTTTTAAAGAATTAATTGGTAAATTCCTCGGGAACTTGCACAATTGGTGGCTGACTAAATACTTTTTTTCCCCACTGTATATATATATATACATACATATACATTTATAAATTCAATATATATTATTTCATTTCCATTTAGTTTGTTGAACTCAAATGAAATAAAACTAAAAACTTAATAAAAAAACCTATACAGACATAATTTAACTAAAATTAAAATAAATAACAAATGAACGACTCGGAGAAACCCGAAGACTTGAACCAGGTGAACTACTTGACTAATTCCAGTACAGAACCTATAGGATGTTGTGCATCCGCGACTGAATGAATCACTCCCCGAGACGACTTGTTCTTCCCGAGTCACATTAAAGATTCGTTCAAAACGAACGAATCGTTCAAGAACGACCCAACACTACAATAAACGTTCAAACGCCGATGTTCGCGCAGTAGTGAGGGCTTTTAAAATTTTGGCGCTGTTGTGACGACGCATGTCACGTGACAACATCAACATGGCGGATGTAGTACGTCCGAATTCCATTCATACTATATAGAACGTACTGTTTTAACGGTCGAGTAGTACGTTCAAATTCAAATGTAGTACCTACTAAGCAGTATGCGATTTCGGACGCACACAGAGACTCCATGCGGGTTACCAGTTGCCCACGGGCACCACGTTGGTGACCACTGATCTATAGTCTACCATTGTTGTGTTTTTCTAAACAGGGTAATGTACGGTGACCGAGAGAGCTCAACGTGCTGCAACTTAAGAAAACACATGCAAATTGAAAAAACACTAGCAAATTAAGAAAACATCTTCATCAGTTTGACAACACATGCAAATGAAGAAACGCGCTGCAAATAGCAGGGACCACAACGGAAATGTTTCAAGGGGACCCAGAAAAGTGACGGACCTGGCTGGGATTTGCTTAATTGTGCAGTGGCTATTGGTCAGTGGAGTTGTCGGTGAACTGAAAGGTGAGTTTTTTTTTGTTTATTTTAACACCCTGATTGCATGATTCCTTTGTCTTTTAGATATTATTAGCCTAAATAATGTGTGTGTGTGTGTGTGTGTGTGTGTTTGTGTTTTAGTGACTGTTGCATGTTCCATTCCAGCAAAGTCAGCTTCAGCTGTCCTTCAGTTCATGAAATACAGAGAACTAAAAGAAACTGAAAGGAAAACATTCTCAAAAAGTAAAAAGAAGTCAAATAAAACAGTAAAGGTAAACTAATCATTATTTAAGTTAATGAAGTTGTCAGATAGAACAGTATTAACATTTGTATTCCATCATTTTTGCCTGATGGTCTAGATTTCTGTTGGGATCATGAGCAAGACCAAGAATGGCTTAAAGCCCATGAGAGGAAAAAAACTACCTCTACATGTTGACCCCCAGTGGTCATCTGAGCAACTTTTGGAAGCTGCTGTGAAAAAACTAAAAGATTTCAATCAAGACATGGAAGATGGAGAATATGTCTTGCTTTATCCAGATGGCTCTCAGATAAAAAAATATCCCTGGAACTGACACACCTTTTACCATTGGGCAGTACAAAGAGGCCATTGGAAAGGCATATCAAAGGATCACACTATACATCTGTACCCTTGAGGATTTGTTGTCAAAGAGTAAGTATTGAAATAGTATGTTTTTATATCATTTATGTGCACTTAAACGTAAAACTTAAGTATTTTAAGTGCTTTGTGGATTCCAACTAGTTACAGCCTACATATTTAACAATACTGGACATGTAATTGGATTGGAAATAGAGATTGATCACAAAGTCTTTTGTGAGGTCAAGAAGATGACTCAGTTTCAGAAGATGATAATGAAGTGGTTGTTAGGGCGCAACCCAATATGTCACCTCTTTCTGACACAGTGGTAGGTACATCTCAGGAATTTAGGTGTTCAGCATGTCTGTGCTTACAGTACAACTATAATGCAATAAAATCTCCTGTACTTGCCAACCATTAGAAATAGAAAAGCATATACAGTGTTAAGGCTATTAATGAGTTTAGGGTTTTATGTTTACACTTGGCAGCTTTGGTCAAGTCCCGAAAGCAGTACACCAGAGCATAGACATCGGTAAGTTAAATTTCTGCTGACACATTTTTTTGTCTCTGTGCAAGCTGAATGTCTGTATGTTTTAATGCATTCACTTTTAAAATTGCTATATAGGAAGCATTTTATGTTATCTATAATACAATTTATACTAAATTGTTTGCATGTTTTAGGTCAGCCACAACATCCCAGTCATCTAATGGGCAAGTATGTCATATTCTGTAATATAATAAACCAGAATGTTTATTTTCTGGGTATTTCTGTGATTATTATTCTAAGTTCTTATTGTGCTGTGTGGTGTTGCTACAGGCCAAGAGTGCAACAAGACCCAAACAGATGACCACCTCAGTGGGTGAACTTAAGTCAAGTGACTTCTACAGGTCAGTCATAAGAAATGATTTTACATAATTATTCACTGGATTTGAAATAAACCTACTGGACTAAAGTACTGGACTACAGCCAAAACAACAAAACATCTTTTTCAGAATACTTTATGGATTAATTGTGTTATTGTTGTTCTTGTACCTCCCTTCCACAGTACATATCTGTGGAAGGGAGGTACGGATCTTGAGGAAGTAGAGAAACTGCCAGAGAAAGACAGGCACTATCACATAAGGAGTACTATCAGCACCTTGTTCTTTACCAGAAAAATTTGACTTTGTGGGAGGACTCTCAAAATCTATTACTAAAGTTGTGATGTCCAAATTATTTTTGAGCAGTGTTGTATAGCTTACTCATTATAAAGGGCCCATAAAATACAAAAAAAACTAACTTCAATTTAAATAATTCACAAAAATAAGAAGTTGCAGTGTTAATAGTTTATTGCTGTTTGTGGACTGTTTTTTTATTATCATTTTAGTGATGGACATGGAAATGGACATTTAACATTAACCGGGCGAATGTCTGGGATGGTGCCTTAAGAGGTTTCAGGCGATCCTCATTTGACCTCACCTGCAGCTTGATGGTGAAATTCACAGATGATGCTGGGCTGATGGAAGAGGCTTTGGACAGCAGGGGGCCTACTCGAGAATTTTTGACTCTGTTGATGGACACCATCAAAACAAGGAGTATTTGAAGGCAAAGACAATGCCAAATACCTCTCATTTGATAGTAAAGGTAATACTTTTTGTGAGGTTTTTACAATGTTGTAAATCAGTGTGTCCTAACATTGCTATATTGGAATTTTTAGCTGCAGAAGACAATGAATATTTCCACATTGGAAGAATGATTGCAGTGTCCATTGTCCATGGCGGCCCAGGGCCTTGTTGTCTTTCCCCAAACTTCTTCCTTTACCTAATTGGTAAAGTAAAAACAATTGAGGCCCCATTTGAGGACATGCCTGATGATGAGGTCAAGAAGGCCCTTCTTGAGGTAATTTGTTAGGCTGGGATTACAAAACATTTAAAGAAATTACTTTCATCAACTGGCAAAAATTCTTAATCTTAATTGCTGTATAAACAGTATGTTTGACAATAATGTAATGACGGTATGCTCTCATATGAGCAGTGAGTATAAATTCAAAACAGTAGTTCTAAACCCCTAGTCTTTGAATGAAATATTTTAAATAAATATTAATATTGTAAATTTTTAACCTGGTATCATTATTAATATCCAGTGTCGTATGTCTAACATTTCTCTTTTGCTCTATAAAAAGAGGAAAGTCCTTCTTTGGGAGATGTCCTTATGTTTGGAACTGGGCTGAAGCAAATTCCTCCTGCAGCAATACAGCCACAGCTAGTTTTTCAGAAGAGCTCTCAATTTCCCATGGCAAATGTATGTACAAATACAATCAAAATTCCAATCTTACCCAGTTATGAAGAGTTTCAAGCAGCTATGGATTATGGCATGCAAAACTCCCCTGGGTTTGGGCTTCCTTGAAGCGAAATACCATTGGCTGATGTTCTGGGGTTTAGGTCCGAGTAAACAGCTTTATTTAAATGAAAATGTGCCACTTTGTTTTTTCGTATTTTGAAATGCAGCCATGTTTGTATAACATATGTTTTAATGTGCACCTATGTTATAGTTACACATTTCAAGTCACTCAGTTAAACAAGGAACACTCAGGTTAATGTACTGATATACTGGTGAGTTTTGAGGAATAATATAGATTTTATTTTCACAAGTGACATTTTTCATCATAGACCAATAATTTTTTAACAACAGAAATGCATGGCATGTTCTTTGCACAAAACTTAAGATTTTGTTATACACAGTTTAAATGATTGATGTTCAGTAAAACACTGATGACATATGCAGTGAGCAAATAAAGTTGTTCTTTGAACTGATGATTTTAAAATCTGGACATATTTTTAAGTGTTATGTAATTTTCAACAGCAGTTATCCAGTTGACTGGTGGAGAAAGCCCACTCTGTCTCTGCAAATCCGAAAAATTAACTTGGAGATTACGATCACCACAAAGACTGCACTGTGGTGGCAGAATGTCCTCAAACTCTTGAATAACTTCCTGTGACACTGGGAATCCACAGTCCCTTGCATCAAACCTAAGGCCAATCAGAAATCAAAACATCAACTCATTACAAAAATGTATAATAAAACATAAAAATTCTAAGATTATATAACCCAACGCCGCAACTTTTAAATAGTTTTGAAATTGAAGACATAAGCCAAAGGTTGACCCTCAATGTTGACAACATCTGTTGTCCAATATGGTAATTACATTTGCTTCTACTACAAAGACACTTTCTGAATCAGTAAAATCCCCCTTTTTGCTTCATGCATTGTAAATGTTTTTTGTCTAAGAATATCGGCACATTTTTTTAAACAATGATCTAGTTCTGATTTAAAATACAATTATCGTCAAGTGAGGGATATTCCACTATACACTTCTGTGTCAGATATAGGCAATCAATCACATTTTCTTTGATCATTAATGATTAAACTTAAGTGAAAATGAAATCTGATATTTACTGAACATGGTCACATATGGCATGGATTAAATACAAACCTGTGAGGCAGGTGATACATGGCTTCTGGTTTACCAGAATGACAAGAAGACTGACGAACAGGTCGTATGGTGTGGTTATTCCAAAGTTCTCTGTACTCATCAAGGTCTTTCTGCACGATGCTCAAGAAGACATACCGTAGAAGGCACTTGTGCTCATGGCTGCCACTGAAAAAGTGCCTCTCTCTCAGGTCACTGAAGCGATCAATCCAGAACTGAGTCCTAATGATGGAATGAAAGTATACACAATGTTTTACTTAAGTGCTGAATAAAAGTTATATGGAAAAGATTTCTTAAATGTTTCCAACAAAAGGTATTATTTAAACTGCATTCCTATTTAAAAAATAATAATTTTAAATATCAATGTAAAGAAAACTCTATAGCATCAGGAAAAAAAGATTTGCATTACATTTTAGTCTAGCGTTATTCTCATATAATACATGTTGTTGACAGCTGAAACCCTCTGTCATGTGGCAACACACACAAAAACGAAATGATTAAATAGTACATTTTATAACATTTTTGTTTTGGAATTAATCTTAAAAGGCCTGTACCTTTGCTTTCTAAAAAAGGACCACCAACTTTCGATTCGCTGATTTGCAGTTGAAGTGCCATACATGTGAATGAGGGCTCCTGCAAAGTCATCTGTATGCTGTGCTCTTAATGCACAGTGAATGGCTATCATAGTGCCATTTTCTGTCCCACAGTCTGTGCGAAGGCGTGCTGGAACTCCAAACTCTGATACACACTGCAGGTAATGGTAAGCAATTACCCCTGGGTCGTTATTAGAGCTGCCACTTCTGAGCCACATCCCTTTCCTAGAAAACCCATCAATGCAGCCTCTGATGGCAACACTAAATGGTTTGAGCTTATCATCCGCCTCGACATGCCACACTTGGTTTGGTCCTGCTGTAAAGTATCCTCTTCGGACAAACCTGTGTCTATGGCGAAGCTGAACTCCAGATGGGTCCAGTCTACGAATTGCATGCATTATATCATCCCTTTTAACCATCAGGAAATACTTCTGTTGCAATGTCTGCCACAGAGCTCTGTAACCTAAAAGCTGACCTGAGCCTGTAAATTCATGTGTTATAGCTGCATTCACAGTGCTAATGGGAGTATAGTCTGTCCTCCTTGTTAGGCCTGCATTCCTTAGTCTTCTCTTTAAGGTGCTCAGACTCAGGAAAATGTTATGCATTGTTCCAAGAAAATCAAGGATCACTTCATATGTGTGGCCTTCTGAGAAATATTTATGGATTAGGCCTGCCTCTGTGATTTCATCTAATACGGTTCCTGAGCCTGAAGGGAAAAGAGAACAATGTCATTAGGAATGCAGGAATCCACAAATATAATCTTAAACATAAAAATGTATCAGCATTAACAAATAAATAAACAAGTTAACTGTTTGATACAGTTTTAAAGGTGTATGTATTTAATCTCAGTTTGTGCACAAATCAAGTTAGTAAAAGAACAAGAAGAACAACTAGCATTGGATGGGCATTTAAGCGTACCCCTTTTAACAGTTAGGTCGTATTGGGAGGTCTATGTTGATGTTGAAAAAAAACATGTGCAATGTATTTGTGTTTAGTTCTGTATGTCATACTATAACCTGGTTCAAATTGTTAATAAATTAGTATACATGTGATTATGTGTGACAAAGTCTGTTTGTCACAATCAGAAACAGAGAGAAAAAGATTAACTAAATGTAGTTCTTATAATTTAATGGACAGAACAGTATATAGGTGCACATTGTATTTGTATTCCATTGTCCTTTCTTTCATTAGCCTACTGTTAGAAAACACTCTCTGTCTTGAGATTGGTTACAGATGTTTTCACCCCTCCTTTTCTTTTTTCCTCTCCCTCTCACTCACCCCCCTATACAGCGCACTACTAGAATTGCACAAGAGATACAAGCAAGAGATGCAATAAATAATTCAAATGATGTGTTTGGTTGGCTCCCAGGGTGGCAGAAAATGCTAGTGAATGCGTTAATCCCTATTGGAGTGATTTTATTAATCCTTTCATTCATTGTATGTTGTATTATTCCGTTTATTAGACTTTTGATTGATCGTGCCATGAATACTCTTGTTGCTACTCAATATGCTTTTATGAGTAGACCTGTTAAAGGACACATGGGTTGAAATGTATCAAAGAATGATTATATTCCATCTTATTATCTATGTATGAGAATGATATGAATTTAGGATTAGGGAACTCTGCAGCGAGTGTTTATGTATTCATTGTTTATTTTAAACAAAAGCAGGCAACTGTTAGAAAACACTCTCTGTCTTGAGATTGGTTCCAGATGTTTTCACCCCTCCTTTTCTTTTTTCCTCTCCCTCTCACTCGCCCCCCTATACAGCGCACTCTCTCTGAATCCCCCTCCTCCATCTGCTCTCTCTCTCTCTCGTATTATGTTTTAAATGTCTCTTACTCATATTCGAGGTACGAATGCGCACATGTATGCATTAGCTTTTCTTGGTTCAAATGTTCAAATAAGGACATGAATGCTAGGACTCCAAGGTAAAAGGGGTTCGTGATGAACTATGAAGGGAGTTCAGCATCCTCAACCAAGTCTATTCCTAATATGACCATATTTTTCTGTACATGTGGCCATTTTATATAAACACATGTTCTTGGCCAAGATCCTATATGTATGTCATCTATATCCTCCTTGGTTAAAGGGTTGAAACTCCCCTCGACATATGCCTATATAATATCTTTGTTTCTATGAATAAATTGAAGTATTGAGAATACATTGAATGTGTGTTTTCTTGCTTCCCGGCCGTTATACACTTTAAGGGACTGAGAATTTTCAGAGGTGGCAAAGAGATGTAGAGGGACCAATTGTTAATTTACTAACACCAACTAAAAGGGCCTGATTAAATAATAATTTTAAATATTATTCTTACTGTCAATCTGAAATTTATTTTGACCTGGTTTTAACAATTAATGAAGCATTGCGGATTTCATTAACCTTGAAATTATATTTAGTTGAGGATATTAAATTAAGTTAGCCATATTATATAACGTTTCACAGTTACTCGTGTAATTCGTCAGATTATTTAGGCTAATAATATCTAAAAGACAAAGGAATCATGCAATCAGGGTGTTAAAATAAACAAAAAAACTCACCTTTCAGTTCACCGACAACTCCACTGACCAATAGCCACTGCACAATAAGCAAATCCCAGCCGGGTCCGTCACTTTTTTGGGTCCCCTTGAAACATTTCCGTTGTGGTCCGTGCTATTTGCAGCGCGTTTCTTCATTTGCATGTGCTGTGAGGATTTGCAGCGCGTGTGTTGTCAAACTGATGAAGATGGTTTCTTAATTTGCTGGTGTTTTTTCAATTTGCATGTGTTTTCTTAAGTTGCAGCGCGTTGAGCTCTCTCGGCCACCGTAGGTACTGCATTGTCCAGAGAAAATTGAGACATTCAGTTCAGAAAACTACAGTGCAGGCAGTGCAGCCGCACTGGGGCCCTTGCCCACATTGCAAGCGACTATATTAATATAAATGAATAACGTATTAATAATAAAATATAATTACTGGTAGTTCCGAGATGCTTCACAGAACTGAATAAATACATAAATTCATGTCATTTATGTGAGATGGTTGTGTGTGTGGTCTAGTGGTATAACTTTTGTCAAGCATTTCCGAGGTTCCAGGTTCTAATCCACCCTCGTGTAGTTCTTTTCTCTCTCATTAAAACCAAAGGTGTTCATCAGTGAGTGTATATCAAGAGCAAGGACATGTTTGTGTGCATTTTGTTTTGTGCTTTTAACAGAACAAAGCGTACGATCATCTTTGTGAAGACTGCGCATTGTGCAACGAGCGCTCGCTATAACACATTCCAGCGATAGATCATGTCATTTATGTGAGATGGTTGTGTGTGTGGTCTAGTGGTATAACTTTTGTCAAGCATTTCCGAGGTTCCAGGTTCTAATCCACCCTCGTGTAGTTCTTTTCTCTCTCATTAAAACCAAAGGTGTTCATCAGTGAGTGTATATCAAGAGCAAGGACATGTTTGTGTGCATTTTGTTTTGTGCTTTTAACAGAACAAAGCGTACGATCATCTTCATCATCTGCGCATTGTGCAACGAGCGCTCGCTATAACACATTCCAGCGATAGATCACCTGTTGTTTAACACAGACCAACGAATTTGTTATCAAATGGAGATGTTTCTTTAGGCACATCCGTGCGTGCCGCCAGATGTTGCAAAAAGTGGCGGAGGGTCGTGGGGACACATGTCACACCGAATGTTTTATTTGTTATATGTCATTTCCACGACTTTCCAAAAGAGGAGAAAAATATTGAGATTGACATGTCAAGTTTGCGTTACTCCCCCAGCCGTTGTATAGAAACACCCTGGCAGCAGAGCTAATTCTTTTTTTTCCTCTCTCATTTATGTGGGGTCTCCTCGAGAGTGTAGGCCTATGTAATGTTAAAGTGATTATATTGCGTTTCATTTTTAATAAAGTTAATTTAGAAAAATGTTTGGAGCATTTTTTGTTCGTTAAATGTAAGGTTTTTTTTTAAGTAACGACCAAGCGGCCAGCGGCAGACTGAGCTGATCATAACCTATGTTTGATCAATTTAGCCTTCTCAAATCATCACGACTTTATTAACTTTATAAATTATGAATTTATTAACATTTAATCATATTATATGGTTGCATGGCTAATTTATATTTACGCTGTTAATATGCATGTATTCTAGCTAGCATTTTTTTTTTATCTAGTATTCTATACTCTCTGCTCGTCTTCAAATGTATAAACGTAGTAAAACATGGTTTTACTACAGTAATGTTGTTGTAACCAAAAAAAACTTTACAGAATCAAATCACTGTGAAATCTTTATATTTTATCATGCATAATGTAATACATCATGTATATTACATAGCTAAAAAATTATTTTTCTTCAAACATAATTTTATTGAACTTTATGTGTGCAAAGCAGAGAAAAATTTAATTGTGTATATACTATATATATATATATATATATCTTCAAAATATTGGCTAAGAAAAAATTAGTAGTACAAAAATAAAACAACGCCAATATTACAAAATATAACATTAAAAAAGTGTATAAATCACTAATTTTTCTAAAGAAACATTGTCCAACAGCGACACCAGCAGGTAAAGTTACAGCGGGAGTCCGAGTCTCTCT